GATGGTAAGCCTAACCTTTTGAGTGTCGATGTTATCGCATGATGACTGACGCTGTCGAAGGCTTTTGCAACGTCGAGCGAAACGACGTGCAGTTCCTTCAACGATGACTTTGCGTCGCGGAGAATTGTGCTAAGCACAGTGATATTCTCCGCGCAGCCATCATGCATGCCTCTCTGCCGCTCGTCCACAAGATTTGCCCGCATAAGACGCGAAGCAAAGACCTTGTGTAAATGACGAACGACAACAGAGGAGACACTAATGGGACGGAACTCTGATGGTAGCGAGCTGCCGTCTTTCTTAGGTATAAATATCGTCCGGCTCAAGAGGCGGTCTGATGGGAAACCGCCAAGCGCGAGGATAACGTTCAGGAACAATGCTCTAAGAGAGATCGGAACAGAACGCCACTGACGCGACGTAATGCTGTCAGGACCGGGTGCAGATGACAAAGGCACCTCGCAGGCTAGGAGTTCACGCATCGATACAGGGTCCGCTATCCACTGGAGGTCCCTATTCTCGACGGCTGTGACACCGTCAAGCTCCTTCGAAGGAGTAGTGAGAATTGGCTCCCAAAAAGAAACCATCTCCTCCATCGAAGGGAACACCGACCTAATAGGGCCATCCAGGACTAATTTCGCGGCTGCTGACATTTTGCTGCCAAACAGCTCCTGCATCTTTGCGTACTCTCTTCGCCTCTTTCTCCACCCGTCAGAAGCCCTTCGCTTCGAGATCTTCTTCCTCTGTCGCCGGCTATAACACCGACGACGAGGATAAGGCGTAGTAGAGGAAGGGAAGACCTGGTCGAGCCATACACAGACATCGACAGATGAAATTTGGTCTTCCCTTAGGACGGCTTCGGCGATGCCCCTAATTACATCAGCCTTGTGCGTGGTAATGTTCGCCGATCTGCGAATCAAGGCACCAATCGCTTCGAAGATCGAGCGTTGCCTGAAAGAATCGCAGCCGGACGAACTGCCGTCCACTTCATTATTATTGGAATCGATGTTCCGTGGCGTAACGATGACCTCTACGCTAGAAGATGAGGAGGACGCTAAGGTATTGTCATTTGCGTCACTTGAGGCCTGCAGCACGGCTTTGTAGTCACGTACCATCTGCTTATAGGTGTCTTTCCTTCGAAGGCCTTGGACCCTCACAAGATCAACATTAAAGCGTCGGCAGAGGTGCTTATTGATGAAGTGAACTCCATCAATCGCCGCCCGCGCCTCCTCCTTCGCAAGTAATTGCATCTCATCTTCTTTCCAATGTTTTCCTCTACTCGATATCTCAATCCGCGCATTGGCTTCATTCGGGTGTTGTCGGAAATGTACACTAAGTCCACGCTGCGTGGTAAAAACTCTGCTGCAGACAGTACAGGTGAAATTTACTGCTGCCCTTTCTGCCTCTGGTGCTTCGGCATCATCTCGCGTATTTGCTGCCGCTGGGCTGGCGATCCGATTGACCCGAGGGTCCGCCAGCGGTGGATCACTTGATCCACAGAAATTTCTGTTACTATTCATTGGGCCAACGACAATGCGGACTCTTGGGCTGGCAACCCAAGAGCCGACAATTAGCAGTAACCAGCTACTTAGCCTTGTCGACAAAAGTCGACAAGTTACCGACTCTCGGGTGGTTATGAAAAACTCGGACCCGGCTGGTTTAGCACTTGGGCAAAGCCCTTAAGAGAGTCCCCCAAAGATAGTCCATGAAGGCCTCAGAGATTTCGCGTGTGACAGGTGCGGAAAGAATTTTACACAAAAAGTGCATTTGATCGGGCACGTACGGACAGTTCACGAGGGTCGAAGAGATTTTGCATGTAACAAGTGTGAGAGGAAATTTGGAAGCAAATCAGACTTGGTTAAGCACCAAAAAATAGTTCACGAAGGTCGGAAAGATTTTGCATGTGAAAAGTGTGACAGGAAGTGTGGAAGTAAATCAGACTTGGTGAAGCACCAAATAGCAGTACACGAAGGTCGTAGAGATTACCAGTGTGACGAATGCGAGAAAAATTTTGGAGATCGGCAGCAATTGCTCATACACCAAATAACAGTCCACGAAGGTCGTAGAGACTTCGCATGCGAAAAGTGTAAAATGAAATTCGGTAGGAAATCAACTTTATTGAAGCACCACAGGACATTCCACGAAAGTCGAAAATATTACGCATGCAATGAATGCGAGAAGAAATATACACAAAAATTTAATTTGCTCGTTCACCTACAGACGGTACACGAAGGTCGCAGAGATTTCGCATGCGACACGTGCGAGCTGACATTTGGAGCAAAGTCGATTTTGATCCGACACCAAAGGACAGTCCACGAAGGTCGTAGAGACTTCGCTTGCGTCCAGTGCGAGACGAAATTCGGAAGGAAAACAGATATGTTGAATCACCTAAGGACAGTCCATGTGGGTCGCAAAAATTACGCGTGTGACAAATGTGAGAAGAAATTTGCGGGTCGAAGCAGTTTGCTCTACCACAAAAGGACATCACACGAAGGTCGCAAAGATTATGAATGTGATAGATGCAAGAAAAAATTTACCACAAAATCGTCTTTGCTTTATCATCAAAAGACTGGTCATCAAGGACTTAAAGACTATACATGAGACAGATGCGACAAGAAATACGGACAAAAACACCATTTGCTGTTGCACAAAAACATATCACACTAAGATCGCAAAGATTACGTATGAGATAAGTGGAAAAAAAGTTTGCACATCAATCTCATTTGATTAAACACCAAAAGACGATCTACGTGGGGTCGCAAAGACTACGCATGCGACAAATGCGAGACGAAATTTGGACGAAAACAGCAGTTAGATTGGCATAAAAAATTAGTCCACGAAGACAGTCCATGAAGGCATAAAAAATTAAGAAGTTTGTTCAGATGAGATGTCATCGAATTTGAATTGACACATAAAAAGTTCATCAAATTCACTGAAACTATCAACTGTATAATTCTTAAAATTATGTTTAAATTGTGATAAATGCTATTAAATTTTTGCAAACAAACGCGATTTTATTTCCCACGATTTTTATAATGAACATATCTGTATCTTCAAAAGCAAAGTCGAGTAAAAGCTCATGGCTCTTAACGAATGATAACCAAAATTTTTTAAACAATTTATTTTTGATAAGAATAATTTCACAGTGAAATAATTAAAAGCGTTGATTTTTTCCTTGACTACTAGTCAAATACTAATATTTTTTTAAATTTAAAATAAAATTGTGCCAATATGATGGTGTTTTACCTGAACCTCTGAGATATGAACGGTCATTACACCGTAGTTCAGTGTCAAAGGTACTTTATTTCTGAAGCTGATGAAATTTCGTGTGCTGCTATATTTTCTCCTCTCTGTGCATTTCTTGTCAATTTGATTGACAAGAAATGATTGAACGGAGCAAACGAGTAACGCTGGGTAAAAGCAATTTCGACGCGTGATTTTGCTGAACGCAATTCTGACCGATGAAACTTTAAAAAAAATCCGACAGAAGTCATTATCCGATTGACGCATAAGCGACATACACACAGGTACAGTAAATTTTTGTTATCCAAAAACTCGCTGACTTTGTCGGAGCAAGCGAGTGACGATATTTTCTGCCGCTATTGCTATGTTTTCGACAATTTAAGCTGGTTCCGATATTGTACGGACATTGTATAAACAGATGAATCGGTAAGATAGATGTAAACAATAAGATCGTAAACGATTTTCACATCGTGCCTCGAATACATTGATCATGTTAATATAAGTAAAACAAATTAGTACAAGTGTCGTATTTCTAACAAGCCGTAATCTCAAAAGAAAAATTTTGAAGGATCCATTGGTTTATTCAGGCATCGATATGGATGAAAATGAGAGGAAAACCAAAGAAGTTGGCTCGGAAATTAATCCGAGTGAAAACGACAGTATTGTTTCAGGCGACAAAAAACTAATTTATGATATTTGTCAGGAGGCATTTACACTAGAATCAAGCTTGATAACTCACCGAAACACAATTCACAATCAACAAATGGATTTCGCATGCGACAAATGTGAAAAAAAATTTGAGTTCCGAAGTCATTTGAGTAGACATCAAATATCAGAACACAGAAGCCGCAATGATTTTGGATGCGATCAGTGCGAAAAGAAATTTGTGAAAAAATCGAGTTTGTTTACGCATCAAAAATTGGTACACAAAGATCGCGAAGATTACTCATGTAACAAGTGCGAGAGGAAATTTGAAAATAAATCAACTTTACTCAAGCACAACAAAATATTCCATGAAGTTTTCAAAAATTACTTATGTGAAATGTGCGCGAAGAGATTTGATACTAAACATAGTTTGCTCTTGCATATCACAAGATTCCACGAGCTTGCTTACCCAAGTGATGAGTACAAGCGGAAATTGGACGAAAAAACAAATATATTTAGGGACCAAAAAATAATTCACGAGGGAAGCAAAGATTTCGCCTGTAATGAGTGCAAGAAGAAATTTGGAAATAAAGCGAATTTGCTCATCCATCAAAGGACAGTCCACGAAGGTCGAAAAGATTATGCATGCGACAAGTGTGAGAAGAAATTTGCACAAAAACCGACATTGATTAGACACCAAAAGACGGTTCACGAAGGTCGTAAAGATTATGCATGCGACAATTGCAAAAAGAAATTTTGCCATAAATGGTATTTGCTCGTGCACATGAAAACAGTCCACGAAGGTCGCCGAGACTACTCATGTGACAAATGTGAGAAGAAATTCGGGAAAAAGCCTAGTTTGATCCAGCACCAAAAGACAATCCATGAAGGTCTCAGAGATTTCGCGTGTGACAGGTGCGAGAAGAATTTTACACAAAAACCGCATTTGTTTGTCCATATAAAAACGGTCCACGAAGGTCGTAAAGATTATTCATGCGATAGGTGTGAAAAGAAATTTGGAGAAAAATCGACTTTGTTGAAGCACCAAATGTTAATACATGAAGGTCAGAAAGAATTTGCATGCGACAATTGTGAGAGGAAATTTGGGCGGAAATCGCATTTGGTCAGACACCAAAAAGTAATTCACGAGGTTCGTAGAAATTACGCATGCGATAAGTGCGAGAAGAAATTTGGATACAAAACGAATTTGCTTGCACATCAAAGAACAGTACACGAAGGTCGCAAAGATTATACGTGTAATACCTGCGAGAAGAAATTTGGACTCAAATCGACCTTACTCTTGCACGAAAAGACGGTCCATCAAGGACGTAAAGACTATGCATGCGACAAATGCGAAATGACATTTAGGGGACGAAGCAGTTTGCTCTACCACAAAAGGACATCACACGAAGGTCGCAAAGATTATGAATGTGATAGATGCAAGAAAAAATTTACCACAAAATCGTATTTGCTTTATCATCAAAACACTGGTCATCAAGGACGTTAATACTATGCATGCGACAAATACGACAAGAAATACGGACAAAAACACCATTTGCTGTTGCACCAAAACAAATCACAATAAGGTCGCAAAGATTATCTATGAGACAAGTGCAAAAAAAAGTTTGCACATCAATCTCATTTTATTACACGCCAAAAGACGATCTACGAGGGACGCAAAGACTACGCATGTGACAAATGCGAGATGAAATTTGGACGAAAACACCATGAAAAAATTAGTCTACGAAGACAGTCCATGAAGGCATAAAAAATTAAGAAGTTTGTTCAGATGAGATGTCATCGAATTTGAATTGACACATAAAAAGTTCATCAAATTCACTGAAACTATTGACTGTATAATTCTTAAAGTTATGTTGAAATTGTGATAAATGCTATTAAATTTTTGCAAACAAACGCTATTTTATTTTCCACGATTTTCATTATAAACATATCTGAATTTCTAAAAGCATAGGCGAATAAAAGCTCGTGGCTTCTAATGAATGATAACCAAATTTTTGATGTGAAACATCTATATTCGCGTTTGGTGTCAGGGGTAAACCCGTAAAAACCGAGCGTCCGTCCGTCCGTCCGAGCGAGCGCAACTTTGGTAGTAGAACTGCTTATACAGCGTCGGTTTGCGCTACGCGCTGTGATTGGTTGCCGCGCCAGCTACAGAACTGCTTTCTGATGCTGCCCGCTGCCGAGACTCGACGCGCGTATGCCTGTGTTTACGTATCGGCTCAGCTTACGAGATTGACTGCGTTGAGATATCTTTCTCTCTCTTGCTTATGCATATACGATAATACATATAATACGTATGTGTCGTCTATGCATGTACGTCGCGAGACTATGCACTATCATGCACGTTGTCAAATCTGATACTTATTACTGCATGTATATATACGTGTCTATGAGTGTGTGTTTTCTTAAGGGAAGTCGACATTTTTATCATGTTATATTAACATACAACGAACGATAATAGCTCAATGCACTAATTTGATTAATAAAACAAATTGAAAATTGAAAAAATTAAAAAAAATCAGCTGTTTATGAACAGCTGCAAGATGTGAAACATCTTTATCAATTAATTAAAGAAAATTGAAGAATTTAAAAGTAATCGAACAAGTAAAAGTCGAAACAAAAACAATAAGTAAAAAACAAGTAAAAAAAATCAAATTGAAAATTGAAAAAATTGAAAAAAATCAGCTGTTTATGAACAGCTGCAAAATGTGAAACATCTTACTATTAATTTAAGAAAATTAAAGAATTCAAAAGTAATCGAACAAGTAAAAGTCGAAACAAAAAAAGAAGTAAAAAATTAAAAACAAATTTTTATTAATTTTTATTTACATTTATATACATTATATTGTTGAAATAAAGAACACATTTGATCATTTAAGTTAATGAACACCTTTTTTATTCATACAACATTACAAAGAGATACAAAAAGCGGTTCATCTAGTCGTCGAACATAATTACTATTCCCGCTTCTTAGCACAGCTCTTCGAAAGTTCTATTGTAATAATTTCCAAAATGATGGGTGTAGTGGCACAAGTAGTCCAGCCTGTAGATGATCTCATGGTTGTTCCTGGACATGGTTCGAAAACGTCTGCTACCTTTCGCTATCGCCAGTTGTAAGTGATTGTATCTGTTGCGCAGCTGGTTCCAAGATCACCTTAACGACTCGCGCTGTAACAAAGAAATAACAGAATGTTTATTAATATTATATCAAAGTATAGTCAATCTCTTTGATTTTTGCTCTTGGATTTTTGCTGCCAAAAGATGATGATCCTCATTTTGGAGAGATCTAAAACAATTTTGTGATGCCAAAAATAAACATAACATAAACACTGAACTCATAACCTATAAGCACATAAACACACTGAACTTACATTCTCAAATTCAGGAAGTGCACTGATACGATATTCACCAAATACGATTGGCACTGTGTATCAAGTTCTGCATGAGTTTGACTATGATTAAGAATCGCTCTTCCAAATGCATGATTTTTCAAGCACCTCTCTAAATCAAAGTTTACTACTGCTGGCTGAGTACAGTGTTTTCTTATTTCTGCAAAGAGTGTGGCGAAATCAGGTTCTGGTTGGGCGATTCTATGATTAACTTTTGATGAAATTTCAATCATGTTGTTTTGGGCACCATCCTCTATGCTTTCAGAGGGACTACCTGAAACCAAAAATTTCAATCTCTCAAGTTGCCCTTTAAAATTATCAAAATATACGAATCAATTTTAGTTTGATTCTTACGTTGCTGCTTGAAATTCGTTTCAATTTCAACCGTGCACCAAGAACTGGAACAAGTTGAAATAATTCACTTGGGCTGTAGACTAAATCTCTCAACGTCTCGATATCTGTAATGCCGTTTTCTTACATAAAAAAGAGGTTACGTAAGCGGTTAGTATTTGAACTAAAATAGCAGATGCGCACATTACCAGTATCTGTTATGTCGATCGTCAGACTTTCGGTAAATTGTAAAAAGTATATATAAAGATTAACTTACAGAAAAACAGTGGGAAATATTCGTCCAGTTCGTTATCTTTCAGTAAAGCCTCCATGTTTATATAATTTATTAACAACCACAGAAGCCGTGAAAAACGCCCGCAAATTAACTCCGTTTTGGTATACGAATCAAAAAGGCGGTTATTTTTGTTCGGACTCCAAACTTGAATGACCAAGCGTTCATGACCGCGGTCAGTGTTTTGCGACGCGCACATATCTACTGTTAAGCTCGGTAGGGTAACTATAAATATTTGAATTTTAAATATAAAAATATCACGGTCGCAAAATTCAACTATGTAGTGCATATTAACTGTTAAGAAATTCTTCTCTCAGTGTACAAACTTCGAAATTTGGGAAACACCTTCATTTCTCCACGTACTCTTTTCGATCATTTCAGAGAAGTTGATGATATCGTATAACTGAAGCTCTTTCACTGAATATAGTGGTTCATTTTTATTGCCACCTTCATAATTTCTATAAGCTCATCTTGCGTATAGACATTCCTTTTGCCGATCGCCTTCTCGATCGTCGAGTGCATTGAGTCGCCCGACGTTTCAGTATGCCCTTTCTCTAAAAACCTAAATGAATTATATAGCATCGATTAAGAAAATATAAAAAATATATATGCTGTAAAGAAAAAAATTGGTACCAACCTGTGTGTTATTTAAATCTGCAATTCTTCGACTACTGTCAAATACATTGTAAAGATTATGTAGTTTCTGTTTTGGCCTCCACAATTATCGGAGTAAAATCTGAAGTCAGTAACTCCAGTTTTTGCCATGTCATAGATCCAGTGGTACACGTAAGTACTTACTTCACAGCGCGAGAACAATTGGCAAGAGCGAGTGTGATATTGTCACATCACATGAGTATAATCATGAATATAGTAAAAAATTAATTAAAGTATTTCCGCGTGATATAACGATTTACTGTAGCACAGATATTCGGCAGAAAATCAGATGGCCATGATCAAAAAGACTCAATTAGACTGCAATAAAGCTCTGATTTTAGAAATATAAAATGTAGCCGTGAAAGATGAATAGACACGTTGTCAGTTCTGTAAACTCAGTCCGATAGCAAAGAAACACTAGTCCGCGCCATAAACTTAGTTTAAACATTAGAAGTACGATTTCACTGCGCTGTAATAAAGACCAACTTGAGTAAATACTTCAACTGAGACATGTAAGATGGGGGCCATGGGGCCAGTTGAACTTATAAGTTTTTTATAGCGATAAAAATTTCAAGTGGCCAACTGATGCTAACAATAGAAAAGGTACTTACAAGTAAATGATCCAATCGCATACATTTTTAAAACACATCACTTCATCACAAAACTCATCACACCACTCTCAAACTTTTCTATTTCAAAATGACACGTTTGAGGTATCCTTAATCAGTTTTCTATTTCCCACTTTTAAACGCTTTGAAAATTATAATAACAACGTAAACCCAATAAATCGGTAGCTTAATTGTAATCAATCTAATTAAGAACGATTTAGACATCGCCGATCGTCACACTGATCATGTTTATAGAAATACCAAATTAGTTTGAATGTAGTCTTTCGTGAAGAAACAAGTCATAACACTAAAAGATAAATTTTACTCATTCGATTTCCGTAGCACTAAATAGAAAAATCCGACGTTTAATGTAAGTACCAAAATGGATAAAAGTGAGAACAAAATCGAAGAAGTTGTCTCTCAAGGTAATTTAAGTGAGCCTGATATTGTTGTTTCAAACGATAAAGAAGAAATTTCTGAAATTTGCCACGAGGTATTTACACAAGAATCAAGTATGATAACACACCGATACACAATTCACGATAAACAAAAAAGTTTCGCTTGTGACAAGTGCGCGAACAAATTTGAGTTTCGAAGTCATTTGAGTAGGCACCAAATATCAGAACACAAAGGCAAAGGCCGCAATGATTTTTCATGTGACCAGTGCGAGAAAAAATTTGTGAAAAAATTAAGTTTATTCACTCACCAAAAATTAGTACATAAAAATCGCGAAGATTTTACGTGCAACAAATGCGAGAGGAAATTTGAAAATAAATCAACTTTACTCAAGCACAAAAAAATATTCCATGAAGTCTTCAAAGATTACTTGTGTGAAAAGTGCGCCAAGAGATTTTCAAGCAAGCAGAGTTTACTCACACACATAAAGGTAGTCCATAGCGGTCGCAAAGATTTAGCATGCGACAAGTGCGGCAAGATATTTATAGAAAAATTGCATTTGCTTTCACACCAAAAGACCATCCACGAAGGTCGTAAAGATTTCTCATGGGACAAGTGTGATGCGAAATTTACAAAAAAATCGAATTTGCTCATACATCAAAATACAGTTCACGATTGTCGTAAAGATTTCAAATGCGACAAGTGTGAGAAGAAATTTGGACACAAATCGCATTTGTCCTTTCACCAAAAGATAGTACACGAAGTTCGGAAAGATTACCCATGTGACAAATGCGAGAAGACATTTGGGAAACGTGGCAATTTGATCAAACACCAAAAAACAATCCATGAAGGTCGGAAAGATTATGCATGCGACAAGTGCGAGAAAAAATTTGGACGAAAATCGGATTTGCTTTTGCACCAAAGGACAATACATGAAGGTCGCAAAGATTATGCATGCGACAATTGCAAAAAAAAATTTCGCGATAAAGGGTATTTGCTCGTGCACATGAAAACAGTCCACGAAGGTCGCCGAGACTACTCATGTGACAAATGTGAGAAGAAATTCGGGAACAAACCTAACTTGATCACTCACCAGAAGACAGTCCATGAAGGTCTCAGAGATTTCACGTGTGACAGGTGCGAGAAGAAATTTACACAAAAAATGCATTTGTTTGTCCATCTAAAGACGGTCCACGAAGGTCGTAAAGATTATTCATGCGATAGGTGTGAAAATAAATTTGGAGAAAAATCGACTTTGTTGAAGCACCAAATGTTAATACATGAAGGTCAGAAAGATTACGCATGTGACAAGTGTGAGAAAAAATTTGGAAGGAAAACAGATATGTTGAATCACCGAAGGACAGTCCACGAAGGCTACAAAAATTACGCATGCGACAAGTGCGAGAAGAAATTTGGATACAAAACGAATTTGCTTGCACATCAAAGAACAGTACACGAAGGTCGCAAAGATTATACGTGTAATACCTGCGAGAAGAAATTTGGACTCACATCGACCTTACTCTTGCATGAAAAGACGGTCCATCAAGGACGTAAAGACTATGCATGCGACAAATGCGAAATGAAATTTGGGGGACGAAGCAGTTTGCTCTACCACCAAAGAACATCACACGAGGGTCGGAAAGATTATGAATGTGATAGTTGCAAGAAAAAATTTACAAAAAGATCGTCTTTGCTTTATCATCAAAAAACGGTACACGAAGGTCGGAAAGATTTCGCATGTAACAAGTGCGAGAAGAAATTTGGAAATAAGAGTTCTTTGGTGAAGCACCAAAAGACAGTCCATGATGGTCGCAAAGATTATCTATGAGACAAGTGCAAAAAAAAGTTTGCACATCAATCTCTTTTTATTACACGCCAAAAGACGATCTACGAGGGACGCAAAGACTACGCATGCGACAAATGCGAGATGAAATTTGGACGAAAACACCATGAAAAAATTAGTCCACGAAGACAGTCCATGAAGGCATAAAAAATTAAGAAGTTTGTTCAGATGAGATGTCATCGAATTTGAATTGACACATAAAAAGTTCATCAGATTCACTGAAATTATCAACTGTATAATCCTTAAAGTTACGTTAAAATTGTGATAAATGCTAGTACATTTTTGCATACAAATGCGATTTTATTTTCTACGATATTCATAATAAACATATCTAAATCTCTAAAGGCATAGGCGAAAAAAAGCTCGTGGATTCTAATGTATGATAACCAAGTTTTTTTAAACAATATATTGCTTATACGGATAACTCAAGCTTATTGCAGTCGCATAATTTTAATATTTTCTCAGAGAATAATAGCGTGCATTTCACAGTCAAATAATTAAAAGCGTTGATTTTTACCTTGACAATTTTTATATAGATGTTCAAGTACTAGTTTTTTTTAACTGTTAATAAAAATTGTGCCAATATCGTGGTGTTTTACCTGAATCTCTGTGATATGAACTATCATTACACCGTAGTTCAGTTTCAAAGGTACTTTATTTCTGAAGCTGACGAAATTTCGTGTACTGCTATAATTACTACTCTCTGTGCATTTTATGTCAATTTGATTCACGCTACGTAGAAAAACATTTTGTAATTGGTCAAAGAATACGCGTAAATTTTTACAAACATTTCTGAATGACTTTTTTAAATTCTGTCAATGATCTTTCCGAAAAACGATATAAACGATATAGTTTCAGCTTATCTGTTTCTTCAATAGCGATTACCTTAACGTACGTCTCTCCTTGAGCGTTCATGATCACACAAAATAGATTGAATAAATTCGCCAACAGATGTCGGGGTGAAAACGCGCAGTCAAATTATTAAAGTTCGTTGCTCGTATACTCGGTATAGCACTCGGAACAGCTTGGAAAAATTTCTTTGCCGAGCGCTTCAATTTCTTACCAAAACGTAATGAGCCACTTACAGCTCGTACATCTCGAGAAACATTTCGCAAAATTAACACCCCAAAAGCGCGACGACGGAGCTCGGCATCTATTATATATATAAATATACATACGCACGAACGATGCGCACAATACGCAGCTCCGAGTACGTAATTTAACGCAACGTACGTGCATAAGTATACACGGCTGTGGTTAAGTAACTAAGTTTTAATTCGAGAGACAAATTTGCACCCTCGCTGTATACGTGTGTATACGGCTAGAGCTAGCTCCGGCGCCGCGCCCGCGCGCGAGAGATGATAAATAATGTAAGGAGCGAGAAAGAGTCAAGTGTGCGTATATATCTCTGTGTGTGTATGTGTGTACGTAAGCTCGTACGCTATGCTGCGAGTATAATAATACAAACTGCGGGAGGATTGCGTAAATTCGTCCCGTTGACCTCGTTTCTCTTCTCTCTTCTCTCGCGTCGAGTTTATACGCACACGGAGCACACGTACATACGTACGCACCCCTCGAGTATATCATGCATATTGTATAGTATACAGACGTCGTTCGTATGTATGTACGTGTGCGCGAGAGTACGAATTATTATTAATTGTACATAAATAGAGACGAGTGGTTAAGTTGCTCATTTCTATATTTGGCCATTTTGCGATGGTACACGCTTTATATACGCATCGACTGTAAAATTTATTATATATCTCGAATTTTAACAAAAGCTCGACTTGAGTGAGCTTTCGCAGCTGCAGCAGCGCCAGATAGATATACTATATAAAATAAGGAAACATGCGTAAAATCTTCGCTCGCCTCGCATATCGAGCTATACTATAATCTGTCACGGGTGAACCTTTTATATTTTATATCTGTGTATGCGTATGCGTACGTGTGTCTATGCACGAATATACATAACGACCGAGAGAACAATACCGACGTTGCTGTGTGCTCGAGCTTTTCAATAGTGTGACCCGCTTTTCACCTTTTGCCAATGCACGCGAATGTTTGTGTATGCTTGGGCGTGGGCGCGCCCCCGTCGCGCGTCCGTGTGTTAGAGTATGTGTGTGTATGTGTGCCACGTGCCCCGGAGCGTACCCACACCAGATCGCGCGGGAGGTTTTTAAAACATTCCCTTGGCTATTGTCGAAAAGCTCGTATAAGCTATATAGCCACTGCGAGGGCGGGGTACACCGTACTCTGGGCTTTATATACATATATGCAGCAGTACGTAGTACACACTGCACACAAACGATTTTGTTTGTATTGGCCCTGCGGGGGGGTGGAAGGGAGTCTCTTTTCCTCTCTCTCTATAGCTGATATTGGAGGCACCGAGTGTCAACCAATACATATATACGTATATATACGCCTCGTTTCGAAGTGCAGTGCTTTTATCGGCTCTATCGATTTATCTAAATTGCTCGTATTTTCTGTACGGTTAGATTGGCAAATGAACGAGAGCTGCTGATATCCCCCCACACGTTTCTCTCTACCTTTTAATTTTTCTCTTTTTTTTTTTTGCCTTCAACTACTCAATGTGCTTTTTGGGTTAACTAGAGAGAGAGAGAGAGAGAGAGAGAGAGAGCCGGGAAATGGCAGTCAAAGCTTTACCCCGCCAAATTCGATATCAATCGATTAAACGGGTTTGTAATGCGTTACATACACACCGAGTGCCTTTTCCAAATTCTTCACGCGTAAATATATACAAACTCTCAACATCGGGGTGTTTCCGGATTACGTTGATGATTAATTCGCCTTAATCGACTAATTGCCAAAGACTCAAGCGCTGAAAACCCTATACGATACAGCGATCGAAGTTTTATAGGATATCGAGTTCTCTACTATGCGATCATATAATACAGGATGTAATGAGCGTGGGGCGCGCGACACACCGAACAGACTCTGCTCTCTCTGAAGTTTTGCGGCTCCGCGTATTATATACATCCCAAAGCTGCGCGAGTCCGCCTATATAGGCTTTCGCTGCAGCAGCGGCGTCGGTGGTATATATAAGCGCATCGGCTTTAACATTATAACGTATATCTACGTACTTTGTAATTCGCGTGCACTGCGCGCTGCGCAGCTCGTATAATTAATTACCAAGACTCGAGCTATGCGCGAGCGGCTGTACATAGATTAGCAGTTTACTCTCTTGGCCCTATACGCGTATGTGTATATACGAGGGATAAATTCGTGGCTAATGTCGCCAGTAGAGAGGGGATATACGAGATAAATTGTATGTATCGATTTTAATTATTTACATTTATACACAAATTTACACGGTGAGATCGCGTACACAGATCGTATGTACACAAAAAAAATCCTATCGAACGTATATTTTCGTCTGGACCTTGCATTTCGTCGCCCCCGAGTGCTCGGCGAACCACTTGATCATGTTCTGCAGATTGAACAGCACGTCCGGGTCGATCTTGCGTCTCTTCCTCGTCGGACTGACGGTCGGGTCCTCGTTCACCTGCTGGATGCTCACCTGCAGCGACAAGTTGTACGCGGCCAGTCGCTGCCTCTCCTGCTCCTCGATCTGTTCCCGTCTGCGGATCTCGCGCTGCTGCTGCTGATCGTTCGCGGAGGGCTCGATCACGAGGCCCGAGGCGACGCACGCGGCGCAGGAACGACCGCTGCCACCGTAGGCCGGACTGACGAAGCCGCGGCCGCAGAAGCACATGTCCTCCTCGTTGTCGGCGAACGCCGCCGAGGACGTGCTGGACGGCCGCTCGCTGCCGACGTAGATGCTACTGGAGCACGTCGACTCGTCGATGTCCAGCTTGTCTTTGTCTTTGTCTTTGTCTTTGTCGTTGCCGCTGTTGTCGTTCTTGTTGTCGTTGTTGATTTCGGGCTGGTCGGGCATGGGCGAGCCGAGGGCCAACGACCACCAGGACCTCGTCTCGTCGTCGTCCGTCGACAGCACCCACTCCGCCGCCGCCAACTCCGACGTCACCGTCGGGGCGATCGACACGGCGCTCGCGTTCGAATTCTCGTCGTCGTCGCTGCCTTTGAAGTCGTCGATGTACGACGGCCGCTGCGGCCACGACGAGCACTGGTCCTCCTGCTTCTGATAGGCGCGAAATCTCATGACGATCTCGCTGAGCCTGAGTCGCTCCGCCTCGCCGTACTGGAAACGGTGCAGGTGCACGTACGCCCGTAACTTGTCCATGTCCAGATTGTAGCGGGCTTGGATGAGCTTGACGGGGCCGCCCATGACGAGCACGCGAGACGCCAGGGCCAGCACCATGTCCGGATGCATTTCTGTGGATGTATAGAATATTATTATTATTTATGGGTTGAAATTTTGATGGAAATTGCGAAGAGATTAGTGATAGTTTACCTTCACGCGGGGTTAGATTTAGTTTGAGGGGATTTTCGTCGACGAGGTTGACACCGAAATCCACCTGGTGTCAAAAAAAAAANAAAATAAAAAAAAAAAAAAAAAAAAAAAAAAAAAAAAATGAATGAATGAGTAAATAAAGAAAGATTTGTTTGTTCACTTGATGAAAAAAATACGCAATGACCAGTTATCTATGGGAACCTTCGGTAATAGAAATTACGGAAAAAACGAATAAGCAAAAACACAGTATTCTTTACAATTTTCTGTCACTTTTGTCACTCTGTAATTTTTGTTGACTTGACTTATAAATAGTATATAAAAACTAGCGTTTGACTTGTAGCAACTCAAGTAATTCACATGAGATAATTTTAATTTACCTAAATGTGAAATCTAATTTTATGAAAAAGTTTGTGCAACAAAATTCACGTACGTAACTGAATATGAATTAATAATTTTTTCTTCGAATCAAGTGGCAGTTACGAACATTTAAGAACGATAGCTGAATTTTTAATTTTTTTCTGAACCTTAAATGGTAATGACTGCACGATAATGAAAATTAAGATCATGAATTATTAATTGATTGTATTTTTCTTAAACTTCATGGACAAATAAGAACTTTTTTTTCGGTGTAACTGATTTTTTTATACCGATAATAAATAAGTGACCAAAAATTTGAAAGAAAACTATGTTTCTACGTTTTTTTTATATTTAATCGAACTTATTACCAAAAGTTCCCCTTAAATGATCGGTAATCGCGCATATATTTCATCGACACCAAATAAGCAGCAGTAATAATCACCTCCAAAAATCGCAAAAAATGATAGAGCCTGCTCACGTATCTGCGCTCGACCGCCACCTCGCCCGTGTACAGCAGATCCGCCAGATTCTTCAAGAGCCAGGGCTTGGCGGATATTTCCACGAGGGTCGGCTCCTGGGCGCGCTCGAGCTCCTCGACCCGCCTGATCAGGTACGGACTCGCGGCGGCCACGATGTCGCGGTGAAAGTCCACGAAGCCGCTGTTGTGCTCGATCGTCACGTCGACGTTCTCGCCGATCATGAACTCGTGCAGGTAGGGCAGATACACCTCGTCCTTGTAGCCGCGCCACGTGAAGATGGCCCTGTATAAATAGAAAGTCGGATTTATCGATTGCACTGGAATCAAAAAAAATCATACCGCGTCGTGAAAAAGGCGTTGTTGCTTGGCTCGAGAAATACAGAAAAATATCTTGAGACAGGCTGAAATTTAGCCGGACGACGGGCAAAAGTGACCGCGTATATCTGTGCCGCATGACTCGGCCAATGAGCCTGGAAGCTGTCTGCTCGGTTGCAGTTACGAGTTCACATTTTTCAGTGCTCGAGAGTTACGCGTGAAAATCACGTGAATCAATCGTGTGTGTTTCTATTTTTTTTTTGGTTCATCAGTCTCAAGATTTTTTTGTATTTCTCGAGCCAAGCAACGCCTTTTTCATGACGCGGTATGATTATTTTGTTCCAGCGCTGCGCAATAATTGTAATTACTCACGATATTTCCTCCTCGCCCGTTTGGCTCTGCTCGTCCATGTCCGTCATTCCGTCCATGGAGTCGGCGTAGTCTACCACTACCCGCCTGTCTTGGTAATTCGGGCTTAACGGCTCCGAACACTGTCTCTTGCGATCTCGCGACCCGGAGGAGGACATTGTTTTGCACGATTGCGAATTTTTTTTTTTTTTTAGTAAACGCGACCCCGAGTTTTCACGCGTGGAAATACGTATTTATACGTATGTCACGTTGTCACTTGTTACACGATCGACGACTGAGCGTACTACCGAGATCGTTGTTTACATTCGCGCTACTCTCTCCCTACTCGCTTTTCCTTTCTTCTATCTGTATTATTGTCTAGGTATAGGTAGTTACAATTAACGTAAGTGACAAATTAAATACGACTGTCATTTATTCATTCATTTATAATTTTTTTTTTACTTTTTAACAAAGTAATTTGTATAACTTTCGAAAATTGTTGTCTCGCAGCTAGCTTAATTATGTTTTTCTTTTGCACGTACTACGAGAAAGGGAGAGACAGCGAGCTCGTTAAATCTTGAGAGATTTAGCATATTCTGCCACGCGCACACGCAAGTTTTACTCGCTCGCAAACGTCGAGAAGAAATTAAGGGTCAAAAAGACACTCTCGCGACACCGCCGCGTCTAATTGAAAACTTTTTGCTTAATTTTCTACGGCGTAAAAAATTGTTACGTTTGTACAATTGTTACGCTGCTCGTACTCTTTTCTCTCTCTCTCTCTCTCTCTCTCTCTCTCTCTCTCTCTTAGCCGATGTAATTTTGAAAAAATATCAGAGTACGCAACTTTTCTCAGAAACTTTTGCGTACACTTTTTCAATGATCAATTTTCCCTTCCCGAGTTTCGAAGATCGATCTATCCCTCACTCTCGCCTCAATCGAGCTGAAAGCAACAACATTTTTTTTTCATCCGGAAAATAAAACTGGATGGATTTTTACGCACTAATAGAAAGACAATCTTCCGACGGATCTACGTATATCGCGCGCACGGCTCACGGAATTCAATGCAAACACGAGCCACCCCACACCCCCTACACGCCCGTGTATATATCAGTCAGTCATCCTCCTTTTGTGTTTGTGTTTCCTTGTAAAACGACGGAAGCTACTATATGCAGAAGCAGCAGAAGCAGCAGAAGCTGCAGACTTTGACGAATTCAACTTTGAATTGTGCACACACACACACACACTTATCCAGTGTATGAGCGCATATATGCTACTATATACGAGCGATTGTTTCGTAATTAACACTCGTTCGGCTGGACTACTTGTGTTCCTTGAGAAAATTTTGCACTCCCCGGCTTTCCTAATTATATGCGCGTGGCAACGATTCATTCTCTCTTTGCAGCGTTCCTTGTTCGTTTATAAAGTTTTGCACCCCCCTGCGCCTTTGTATGTATAATTCAGAGAGAGAGAGAGAGAGAGAGAGCCGAGCTGAAAGCGAGATAGAGGAAGCGAGAGAGAGGCCGAAAACTCTTGTAATGCGCGCGACTGAGCAAATACACTCACACACACAGACACTATAGGGTAATACCAGCAAAGTTTTAAGCTTGCGAGTACATATAACTTATATACATGCCAACCAACCTCGAGCGAACGCCATTGTAACGTTGATTACCGGGCTGCATATAGAGTCGGAGCCCGGATAGTGCGAAAATTAACCAGAAGCAATGGGGATATGTGAAAACAGTCACCGATAACGTATTGCAGCGACGAAAAGCTTTAAAACGGCCCGTAAAGTATATATAGAGGACTAGACTGGCGACGATAAAACATGCATGGTAAATTGGCGGCTCGACGTATACGCTTGCACGTAATGCGCCGTTGAATTAATAATTAGCCGAACGACGGCGAGTTTTTTTGGGAGGGGGGGATATAATTTAATATCGCGCATTAATCGGTATATCGTATCGTATTACGAGCTATCACATTACCATGATAATACGGAGAGAATTACGAAATTATTTATGGATTCGTTAGTTTCTTTTGATATGAAATTATTCGAATGCTCGAGGAGAGCTCATTAATCGAAAAACTTTTCATTCGATTTTCGGAAAAGCAATTTACTTTCCTCTACCGTTGCATTTTTTTTTTTTAAACTCCACAATTTTGACGACTCAATGAGCCGTTTTCGTACGGTACACTTCGCGAGGAAACTTTTTTCTTCTTCAGCGTACTTTTCCGGTAAATTGTAGATATGCCCTTCAAAATTACTTGCGCGTATACACGATGTAATATTCAGTGCGCACCTTTCGAGCTTCGGTGCGCGTACTTCTCCGAAAACGTGTACGAAAAATGGATTTAAATATTTTATCATTTTGAAGGTAATTTTTTAATTTTTCTCTAGTGCTCGCGCGCCGTTGAGTCTTGAAAACGTTTTTTAGAATTGTTTCACTCTTTTTTCGACAGTTAAACTCTGCACTCGGAATAAAATTAATTCCTTGAGTAAATATAAAAATATAAATGTCGATTAAAGATTCATGAGAAACATCGATGAATTACATAACTTATGAATGCTCAGATTTACCAAATCTCCAGAGGCATAAATGTGTATCAATTGACTTTATGCAGCTTCATGACTGCACAATTTCATCGGTTCGAATAATTGAACACTGAAACGAGCTCTTTTATTTACTACAAATTGCGTAAGGGACAATTCAATTTGTTTTTCATGAATAAGTTTTATCGGGTGCGAAATAATACAAAAAATTGTCTCAACACAAAAATCTTTCAAGCGCGCGAAGCGAAGGCTGTTTTCGTCAAAAAGCTTCGAAATTAATTCACTCGCGAGATCGTTCGAGTGCACTTTTTCCCATACGTATATTTCCGCGCCAAAGATAAGAGCGCAGCTAGCACATATTTTTGCCTACACTCCTCCTTGCTCTTCCTTTTATAATTTTTTTTTTATTTTATTTTTTACCATCAAATTTTTGCCCTTCGCGCTGCTGCTACTGCGCTGCTTCTGTAGCTACGGCACGTAGGACGATGATGAGTTTTGTACTACTGCGCTTATATATATATTATATATATACGAGAGAGCTTGTACAGTTGGCGTATAAAGGAGAAAAAACTTCTAACGAGCGCGTCTCGGGCGCGCTTACAATGTTATAAGTGCGCCGGGGCCCGAGCTTCGTCTACTCTTATTTCTTCAGAATAGATTTATGAGAAACTTCTGTGGCTGCGGAGCTATGTAGCTTCCTCGGAGCGCGCCGCGGAATTAATTAAAAGTATATAAAAAAAGAGAGAGAGAGAGAGAGAAGTAGTCTTGTGGTGAATCGCGCGGTGTATAGTACGAGTATAGCTGGCTACTGCTCGGCGCGGGTGCGAAGAGTTGTTGCAAAAAAAAGAGGTTACACTTTTTTTTCAGTTAATTTCAACTTTTCGATGCAAAAAAGGGGCAGTCGGAATAATAACAATGGGATATTATCGATCGCGCGATGATTAATGCGCGATGATCCGACGAGGTGACTGCAGCTAGTGACAAATCGACTGCGAACCTGATCCGCTTCCACCGGACGTTTGATTAAACGATCTCGTCGTCGTCGCGAGCTTTCAGATCGGTTCTCGGATGGATATGAAAAAAAAGCTCATTGTGCTCAAAAGCATTCACAATTAATTACCGTATTACAATATAAAAGCTTTTGCGCTGCTCGCGCGCAAGAGCCAAGATCATTTTTCTTCGAGCTTCCGATAGGGGATGTGGCGTTTTCCGAAATTACGTTCGAAGTTTATATGGGGGGGAAAAAAAAGCCAAAAGCTCGCCCAATCTACTTTAAAAGCTGCGCGCACCCTTCGGATATATATTAAAATCGATAAAAGCTTCTCTACAATGTATAAAAGGTAAAGCGCGCGCGCGAAAGAAAAAGCAAAGAGAATATCCTTCGACTTTTCGCTCAAACGAAAGCTCTTTGCACTCTCTGTGTTTCTCTCTCTCTCTCTCTACGTGTATATAAAATTCAGCGAAAAGCTCGCCGCTCGCACAGCATCAATCGTCTTCTTCTCTTCTCGCCCCGAAACGCGCACAGTGCGATCTTTGTGCGCGAGCATCTGCCCCCTTACTTTAATTAAATTTAATCATCTCTCTCTCTCTCGCTCGCTCTCTCTTGTATGCAAGAGCCCTTAGATTTATCGCATTTCGCATTGCAGCGCTTCGATTCACGCGCGCGAGCTCGACGGGCAATACGTCATACTAATGTAGCGTGTAGCACGTCACACGCATACATTCGTATACATACGTACTGACGCAATGCATAATGTATGCGTATGCTACGTATCTTTTCATCCTCTTCTTCTTCTCGTACATCTATTTTCATTCTTTTTTTTTTAAACACTGCAACGACGCGCCGTTGTAGGCGAAGATGCTTGACCGATCTGAAGTCTCTTTGATGAGAAGCTACGTGTACAGCGCGCGAGAGTGAACGAGAAGATAAAACTTTCCCTTTTTTTCCCTCTCTCCCCGTCGAGGAGACGACGAAGACGACGACGACGACGACGAACGGCAGCAGTGTAGTCGCTGTTAATTGTCGAACGTTGTACCGCGCGTCGCTGACCTATTTTTGGATATATGTAAATATAAGCTTTAAATGTCTCGCGCGCGCTCGCGCCAGTATATACACACATATATCACGCTGCGCCGGGCGAACAATCGAGTTTGTACATACTGCTGCTGCTGCTGCTACTACTACGGAAGTTTAATTTAAATTGCGCGCTATGCAGATATATGTACGTACGATGTAAAGTAGCAGCAGGAGCAGTAGGTTTAGAAACTGCGGCAAATGTGTGCGCCAGCAGCGGCAGCGGCAGCCGAGTTTAGTTTAGGGATAAGATATAATTTTTTAATTGCCGTATCGCGTTTAAATCATGTCTCGGGTGTGCGAGCGTGCAGAATTATGATTAACGCAGCGAGAAGCGAACTTTCAAATATACGATTATACTCATATATATTCGGCTTTTTAAGCTCATCAGTGGCGGTTCATACACTCTGGTGAGCTTGCAGTCGACAAAGGGCAGAGATATAGGTACCCGCAGACTTTCTCTCTCTCTCTCTCACGTAAACCATAAATCCGCACTTATGACGCGGAGTTATACAAAAGTGCCAACGTCTCGTCGTCGTCGCGTTGCGGAGCGAAACTCCCGCATATATAGCCTCGCACACAAGCTGAATTACATATTAGTAGAAAGAAGCTACTTTTTTTTCAGCGACGATGATGGGGGAGCTTATAAGCGTAAGCGTTTAACCGCTCGCGTCCATCCGCTTTGTTGATC